ATTGACCACTTGGCCCATGGGATGACCTGAAACTCTTAAAGTGTTCATATTATATGTATTTAAAAAAAAAAAAAAGAATCCCAGGCTTGGTCTCTGCTTCTAGGACTTGATCTAAGACATTTGAGCTGGAGTTGGACCAGAAACATACATCACCTATATATCCTGGACTTCAAGTGATGCAATAAAAACCAAGGCTTTGAGTTATCGCTCTCTCTCTGGAATGGGTGAGAAATTTCTGTTTTATGAGGAATAACTGCATTATGTTAGGAAAGACTGATTTGAAAGTTTATGTATGGAAAGAAAATTGCTGAACAGCCAAAGGGATGAATTATATAAGACATTCTGTTAACACAGCATCAATTTCTGTTTCTAATAACATTTTTTTTGTGGGGGTTTTCTTGCACATTGGCTTGATGGAATAGAAATTCTGGTCCACAACATAAGTGAGTAAGCATTTGACTTAAGCTTGTCCTACCAGGCTTTCTCCTGGAATTTTTGATCTTGAGCAGAATGGTGCAAGTGAATTGTAATGATTGTAGTTAGTTTTTTTGAGCATCAGTAATAGAAAAGAACTTTAGGCAATTTCTGCTTTCAGTACTGCCTGGTTTCTGGGCATGATGGTGCATGTCTATGATCCCAGTACTTAGAAGGCCGAGGCAGGAGGATCACCAGTTTGAAGCCAACCTAGGCTATACAGCAAGACCCTGTGTCAGAAATAAGTAAAATAAAGAAATAAAACTGTCTGTTGTCTGTTTGACTCGTGCCTTCCTTTCTACCCTGAGAGTTTTTCATGATCTTTCAAAATATTCTTTTGCTCAAAAGTATCCAGAATCAGTTGTTATTAAGGGCTGGTGGAGTGGCTCAGGTGGTACAGTACCCACCTAGCAAGCGTGAAGTCCTGAGTTTGAACCCCAGTACCACCAAAAAAAGAGAAAGAGACAGAATCAGTTGTTATTACATACAGCCCTTAGTCAAAGAAATTTATCTTGTATAGGCAGCATTGCTAATTTCAGAGAAGGGAGCAACAAAATGTGGGTCACAGCTCTTACTGTATACCAGCTGCCCTGCTGCCAAAGAATATCATTCAAGCCTTCATAGTTATGCCAGGTTGGGGCTGACCAGTCATTTTCTGGGAAGTGCCAGACTCTACCATAAGACTGCTGCTAAATAGTGCACTGAGCAACATGCCTGGAGTTATTGGATCTTCCTTATACTTTCAGAATTCAATAAAATGTCAGATCTCATGGGTAAGAGATAAGACTTCCAAAGCAGCCACCAAAGAGATGGAATGATGCAACCTGGAATTATGGAGAACTCAATTCCCTGACCAATGGATAATAAAGAGTAAAGAAAATTTCTTTCCTCATTCCCCTCCCATAGTTGTCCTAAGACAGTTTCTACACATAATTTGTCAGGAGACTTCACCAATGATTGTGCCAACTGACTTGCTGTGTCTTTGAAGTTCACAATGAAGCAAAGACTAGGACACTACTCCATCCCCTCTACAATGATGTCCCTCATTGATAAAACATTAGCACTACTTGGGATGTAGCTCAGGGGTATAGTACTTAGCAGCATGCAAAAGCCCCTAGGTTCAATCCCCAGCACTGCAAAACTAAAATCAATTAAAAGCACTTCATTCCTTTGTACTAAAAGCTTGAAATGTGAAAACCTGTTCTGGATTTGTTTAAAGCTATTTGATCAATAATGATCATAAGTAAATGTTTCATTCGAGGAAAAAAATTTCTGCCTCAGTTTTGTTTTCACCTCTTTTCTGCTAAGCCTTCTTGGGGTTTTAGTCTATGAATCACTTTGGTGATATTGAGAAGGAAAGTAACTTTGTGAAAGTGTCTACTTTCAAAATCCATTTTACTTCTTTGCACAACTCCTGCATTTATGAGAAACTAGTCTCAAGTGATATTTATCGCCTATTCGTTGCTCTAGCCAACTTTTGCAACTTTTCCTCAATAATATATCTCAAACCCTCTGTTTCTTTATATAGGCCCATAGCTATCATGACAGAAAATAAAACCTATAGCAGTAATTGCTGCCAAGAGCTTGACATTTAATTTAGCTCGTCAGAATGATGGCTTGCTTTTTTTTTTTTTTTTTTCTTTTCTTCAACTATGCTGACATCCTGGTATAGTTGACAACAGAGTTGGCAAAAACCAGGCCCAGAATGTCAGCCAGCTATTAGCTGCTGTTTTCCCAGGACTGTAACACTTACGATGGCTTTCTTGATGACTGGATAACTTGGATACCATTCAGGAGGAGGAGGTTGTAAAGATACATCATTGATCATACCTCTTTTCTTTGCTAACCTTTAAAATGCAAACTTGGTCAGTGAGAATACAAGAAACACTGTTGGGCATGTCTCAGACAGTGAGTTCTTTGTTAGGGTCATGGGCCTTCTGTTGTTAGCTGGAGGAGCTCGGGAGCTGAGGACTTCTATCTTTGGTGATGTCTTGTGGATTGTGAACAGAAGATCACATCTGATGTGGTTTCCACTGTGATCTTCAATGTTGAGAGTAGAAATGGGAGGCTTAACAAAGAAGTTCAAGAGTTCAAGCTGAACCCTGACCTTGGAGGAATTTAGGTCACAAGGACCATATACCTCTCCCAGCACCCCCAGTGAGGCCAGAAATGCAGAAGGACCAAGGTAAACCTTATTGACTCCAACCAGTATCCTAGTTTCAGCATCAAAAAAGAACTAAAGGCTGACCCACATCCAGAGCCGCAAATCCAGGTCTAGTTTCAGAACCAGAAAGCTTGACTACTGAAGAGAAGCCAGAGGAGTCCTGGTGAAGAGGAAGCCTTGGACACAGGTTCCCATCTCAAGGCCCCAGATAGCCTGGGATGTTCACCCCCAACTACTCAAGCCAGCATGGCCTTTCAGGAACCATGAAAGAATTGGGCCATTTCTGGGAGTCAGAAATGCTTCTGATCAAGCTATCCTCTGGGGGCACACTGGTGTTCTAAGTGGCCTTCTCTGATCTGGAGGCTCTAGCTAGCATACCTGGCTAGCCTTTTGGAAAATTCTACTGCTCTTCCCTTTTTGGTCTAGCTGTGTTTCCACCACCTGCTTCTCACAACTGAAAGCCAGTAGTACTGGGGCTCAAGTTTGTCTGGAGATACCCAGGATGTTGCTGCCTGGGGACTGGGCTCTGCAGGGACAAGGGCAATATCCTTGCTCTGGAGATCTGCAATTACCATGGGACTGGTAGCCTCTGCCAGTCGTGGAGCCAGGGATTGCAACTTGCATCTGGGAGTCTGGGAAAAGCCAGCACTGTCACCTTCCCAGCAGCCCTGACTGAATACAGCTTCTCCTCCTCTGCCCTGGCCTCAGTCACCGCCAGTGGTGAGAACTGCTGAGTCCCAGGAACAATGTTCACCTCTCCCTCTCAGACAGGATCTGCATGGAAGCCCCAGAGAACCTGGCTCATAACCATGGATGCTGTGGGGTCGGTATTTGTAGCTGCTGCCACAGCAAAACTAGAATATGACCTTAGCAAGTGTCGTCAATGGGAGACAGATGAACAGATAGTGGTTAAGAAAGAGGGATTCCTGAATACCATCTGTTGAAAAGGAAGAGGGAGAGAAAAGACGTTGAGTGAGTTTAAAGAAGTCACTTTTCATATTCTCTGTATCTAGTAGACATACTTTAAACAAAACAGAATAAAAAATTCAGGCACTAAGTTTATGGTGTATCTCATCCTGGAAAGAAAGAAGCGTATTTTATTCTTGTTTATATTACTACTAGTGTTTAACTCAATACCCTGGATATAGGTAGATAAGACAAGTTGTTGATTTTTCTTTTTCTGTCAACAAGCGTCAGTGACAGAAAAAGCCTAAATTATTCAACTCTCCTGGATTCTTTTGTAGATTGTCAGATGTTCTTACAATTTGACTCCCAACACTTAGTTGCTAGGGTAGAATCTCAGGTCTGGGAATGTAGCTTGGAAATGGAGTGCCAGCCTAGCACTGGGAAGCCCTGGGTTTGATCCCCAGCATCACCAAGAAGTTCTTAAAATAAAAAAAAATTTGCACTGAAGGTGTGGTTTAAGCTCTAGAGCTAATCTACCTAGCTAATCTGCCTACCTAATCACGAAGCCCGGAGTTAAAATCCCAGTACCACCGAAAAAAAAAAAAATCAAACCATCAGTTTTGTATTTACCCAACAGTGGTATTAATGGATTGGTAGCAACCTCTCTAATTAATAAAGTAGTGACAACCTCTCTAAGTAATAAAGTATGTTTAAAAGTTTGAAGTTTTAGGGTATTTTTTCCCTCAATTTCCTCAGTAGGGCCGCCGGTAAGTCACTACTTGGCCACCAGAATGATTGGCATTGGTGACTGGCTCCTATAGTGCCCTGACTTGGGAAGATCCATTAGCTCAGACCATCGCCGCGCCGGAGTCAATCACTGGATTATTCGGCTTCATCTACAAGACGGGGATTACAACAGCCGTTTTTGTCATTTTTTTTTTAGTTAAAATTTAGTAACTACGCACAGGACCAGACACAAAGTGCCACTTTAGCAATTCAATATTCTTGTTTCCTCATCTATTTCTCCAAATTTCCCAATTAGTCCTCAGAAGGGAGCGATCGGCCCAGGGGTAGGGCTGGGGAAGAGGGCAGTTTGGTGTCAGACTCGTGGAGACCGTCCGCCCTAACGCTAGCCAAACATCCCTTCCCGAGAGCGTCTCACTCGCACTTCGCCCTCTGGGAGAGAGAGGCGGGAGCCGCGTGATACACGGTACACTACAGTCGTCGCGACCCGGGTGGGTGGCAACCCGCACTTTCTGTGATTTTCCCGAAAGGTGGTGTGGGAGGAGACAAAAAAAATGGCGGAGCCGGCCGCCCCACGGTGGGCAATTTGGCTAGCGCAGGTCAGACCCTTCGAGGCGATTTCCGGATCTCCAGAACCGGAAACTGGCCCGGGCGCGCGCCCCAGTGAGAGTGGGTGTGGCCGCCTTCCCGGAAGTGCCTGTGGCCTCAGCTCGGCGTACGAGTCGTGGTAGGCGGTCTTCTCAGACTCCTGCTGCGTCAGCTCGGCTGGGGGACCCTGCTCCGGGTTAGTTTTCAGAGCCACTCTCTGGGAGCGCGGGATCCCGAGGGGGAAGAGAGTTTGACTCGCTTCAAGTCCAGAGTGTCATTTCCCCGCGGGACAGGAGCCGGCGGAATGGACGGGCCTTTGTCTCCCCGGGAGTCCGCCCGGTTTATTGCAGAGCGCAGTCGGGATGTGTCCATCGACTTCTGCGGCGTGCGGCGGGTGGCGGAGCTGCTGCGGGCCCAGGCGTCGGGACCGCAGTTGCGCGTGGACGGGTGGAAGGCCATACACGAGCTGAACCCCAGGGCGGCCGACGAGGCCGCAGTCAACTGGGTGTTCGTGGTGGACACGCTCAACTTCTCCTTTTGGTCCGAGCGGGCTGGGCACCAGTGCGTGGTGCGGTACCGGGGGAAGCCCTACACCGGGTACTGGTCCCTGTGTGCGGCGGTGAACCGAGCCCTGGACCAAGGTCGGTGCTCCTGGCCGGGACCGTAGCGGGGCGGGAGGTGTAGTGAGTAAAACTGGGAGTCCTCCAGGTTAGCCCCTTGCTTGAAAGAAAAGCAGGGCAAGGCCACATTCAGTGGCAGTGCAACTACGAAAGCTTCCTAAAGTATGCCGCTTTATTTTTTTGGTGGGACTGGGGTTTGCAAGCGCAAAGCAGGCACTCTACTGCTCAGCCACACCTCCAGTCCATTTTATTTTGGTTGTTTTGGTGGTCTCTATTGTCCGGGTTGGCCCGGACAAGAACTAGGATTACACCTGCACCCGGTAAGAATGCCACATTTTTAAATGACACCTGAAGAACAAAGGGCAGATTTGATAAAACATTTTATGCAGTTAGAATGCATGCTCTAGGGTTACACGTAAGAGGGAAAATATATGCTATGTAATATTGCAATAGTTAGAAATGTGAGCAGATGAGCAAGTAGAAAATGAGGGGTGTGCTTCTAATAGTTGCCCACCTTTGATATTTTTCTGTAGCGTTCATTTATAGTTTCATATTAATTGCATCTTATAAAACCAAGGGTGTAATGAATTATCAGAGTATGACATAGTTCTTCTAAATTATCTTTCTGTCTAAAGGGATACCAATAACTAGTGCCTCCTACTATGCCAGAGTGACTCTTGATCAGATTCGGCACATATTTCGTTCTGACACAGACGTTTCCATGCCATTAATAGAAGAGAGGCATAGGGTTCTCAATGAAACCGGGAAAATTCTGCTGGAGAAGTTTGGAGGCTCTTTTCTTAATTGTGTCAGAAAAAGTGAAAAGAGTGCACAGAAGTTAATGCACCTGGTTGTTGAAAGTTTTCCTTCTTTCAGAGATGTGACTCAGTTTGAGGTGAGTTGCTTCTCTTGGGAATTTTAGAAGTCTTAGTAATTCTCTTAGAGTTTACTCTTTTACTTTTAGAACTCATGAATAAGAAACACGAATTTGGGCTGGGATGTAGCTCATTGTTAGAGCACTTGCCTAGCAGGTGCCCTGGGTTCCACTCCCCGTCACCAAAAAAGAAAAGACAAAAAAAAAAAAAAATTGGGGCTGGCAGAGTGACTCAAGCAGTATAGCACCTACCTTGGAAGTGTGAATCCCTGAGTTCAAACCCCAGTACCACCAAAAGAAAAAAGAATAAATTTTTTTTGAAGTTTGTTCACTGAGGACAAAAAACAGTAACAAAATTAGTGTTTCAAAGCCATTACATTTTTTGCCAGGTGCTGGTAGTTTATGCCTGTAATTCTAGCTACTTAAGAGGCTGAGATTGGGAGGATCATGGTTTGAGGCCAGCCAGGGCAAATAGTTCTTGAGATCCCATGTCCAAAATAACCAGAGCAAAATGTATTGGAGAAGTGGTTCAAGCGATAGAGCACTTGCTTTGCAAGCAAAAAGCCCTGAGTTCAAACCCAGTCCCACCAAAAAAAATAAAGCCATTACATTTTTTATGTTTTCTGTTGAGTTTATTGGTAGATCTGGGGTTTGAATTCAGGGCTTCATCCTACTGTGTCAGCCTCCCAAGTGCTGGAATTACAGGAGTGCACCATGTCTGGTTTGTTTAATCCTTCATTGCTGTGTATTTTATCTGTGACAAAGAAATGAAGCAACTTCAGAAGAATGTGAAGCTGGGTGCTGATGGCACATGCCTGTAATCCTAGTTACTAAGGAGGCAGAGGTCAGGAGGACTGTGGTTTGAAGCCAGGCTGGGCAATAGTTAGACCCTGTCTTGAAATGAAAAAAAAAAAAAAAAAAAAAAAAAAAACCCTTCACTAAAAGGGGCTGGTGGAGTGGCACAAGGTGTAGGCCCTGAGTTCAAGCCCCAATACTGAAAAAAAAAAAAAAAGATATAAATATATTGAATAATTAAGTGAATGCTTATGTAATATTGAAATTTTGAAACTATTCCTTTTGTAATCACAATTCAACAATTAAAATTACCAATAATATTGCTTAAATCATACTTCATGACTTAGAAGGTATTCACATATACAGTCTCGTTTGATCCATAGAATAGCAGTGTGGACCAAGGGCAGGGGGTATAACTGTCCTCTCTTTGTACCAGGAACCAAAATCTAAAAGGTTAGATGGTTAACCTTAGGTCATGTAGTCAGAAATAGTTAGCTTTTTGGTTCTGTTACAAAATGAAAGATGTCTGATTATGTTTGGTTAGTAAAGATTTTTTAAATTGCAAGTGACAAACACATAACTAGAAAAAGCTTAAGCAAAAAACAAAAAAAGAATTTTAAATGGAAATTTGTGACAGGGACATCCTAGTTTTGGGACTCAAGTACCATCAGGATTCAGCCTCTCATCTTTGTTTCTGATGGCACTATTTTTTTCTCTTACCACAGACTTTCTCCATAAAGTAGAAAGGATTACTGTGCATGAGTTTTGCATGTTATTGCTTTGGTTGCTTTTGTCACTGGAGAGAGGGAGGGACACACTTTCAGTACCAGTTATAAAACTCCAGGGCAAGGACTAAATGAACTGACATGGATTATGGTCAGTCATAATTATCGTCACTGGGTATGGATGTGACAAAAGAGGTAGTTACTCAAAAAGAGTCCTTAGGCCACTGTTGAATTTCATTCTGTTCTGTTTTGCTAATGCAAAAGTTTCTTTGAGATTTATCTTTGTCTTCAAAGTATGTCCTTTCATCCTTGTTTTTCAGGGAATTATGGATCAAGTTCCTTGGTCTTATCATTTAGTCCATCTAACGTAATAGTAAGAAATCAGTCTGCCAGTCATATGGCTAATAATCCATGTATTCCAGAATAGACATTGTTGTAGTACAGGAAGGACTGAGATAAAACTTTATGTGACTGCAGAATGGAATAAATTCAGGACACCATGTAGTTTGTTTTCTTTCAAGTTGTCTTGAGTTTTTTTTTTTTTTTTTTTAGTAAAAAGTAACAGTAACATTTACTATGAGAGGAACAATGGGGAGAAAAGAGAGAGAAGCCTTTTCTGTTCCCCATGCAAGAAATGGGAGGAAAGACTCTGAGTTTTTGTTTTTGTGGGTGAAAGGAGTATTGTTTTGGTTTTTTTTCTTTGTACAGTCACTTCCATTTATAGTATAGTGCTTTTGATTTGTTTTGCTGAAAAATTCAATTTTTAAAAAAAATGTACCTGGATGTAGATTAATTGTAAGGCTAACACTTTTTTTTGGTGGTACTAAGCTTTGAAGTCAGGGCCTCATACTTGCTACCAAGTGCTCTACCACTTGAGTTACTCCACCAATCCTGTTTTGTGGTGAGTATTTTCGAGATAGGGTCTCATGAGCTGTTTTCCCAGAGTGTCTTTGAACTACGATCCTCCTGATCTCTGCCTCCTAAATAGCTAGGATTACAGGCATGAACCAGCTGGCTCCCTGCCAAGGGTAACACATTTTAAAATGGAAGGCAGCTTTGCTCACCACTATACCACCAACGCTTTTCCACATTTTAAAATGAAAATTGGCACATGAACCATTTCCTATGAGTTCTCATATGTTTTTACATAAGAATCCCCAAAATGTAACAAAAAGCCACACTTAGGAATCAATAGTTTCTTACATGCGCACCATGTTTTTCTCATTTATTTGTTCCAGCAGGTTATCATTAATTGCTATAAAATTATCATTAGTTACCCCAAAGCATTATATTTTTGTAACTACATATTCTAACATAATACTGAACATATGGTGCTCACTTAATGCTAAACAATTTAGGGTTGGGTAGACAATTTACAGTTATATTTGCATATGTAAATATTCAGTCCCATAATTATTTGCCCAAACTATTTTTACCTCAATAATTGTGTTTAGTGCACAGTTTTATTTTGTAAATTGAGTTTTATGTTTTGTTTTCAGCTTTACACAATCATAAACAATGCTACACAATAATTTAATTAAATCTTTGCACACATCTATAATTACTTCCTACAATAGAGTATTGTATAGAATTGCTAAGTCAGAGCAGGGCAGAATTTTCAGGCTTCATATATATAAAAATGCAAACTGTTCTCTAGAAAAATGATAAAGCCCCAATGCTTCATAACTTTTTTGGTGATATTGGGAATTCAGTTTAGGACCTTACATTTGCTAGCAGTTGACCTACCGCTTGAGCTACAACCCAGTCCTTGTGCTTTTCGTTTGTTTTTCAAATAGATCTTGTGCTGTTACTTAGACTGGTGTTGGACCTTGATTCTCTTCTCTCCTTCTCCTGAGTAGCTGGGAGTACTGATATTATACCTGGTCTAATTGCTATGTCTTTTAATCTTTAACAGTTTGCACAAAACAGTCATAATTATTTTTTATTCTTTTTAAAAGTTTTCTTGTTTTTTGGTTGTACTAGGCTTTGGTAAAAGTTTTGATGAATACTTATTTATTATCATTGAATTTTAGACTTTATGAACAAATAAATAAAGTTGACAAATTTTAATTCAGACAGATTTAGATAACTGATTTCCCAACATGATTCCATATACCTTATCACTTAGGAAGGTTAAAATTCAGATAGTATTTGCAAAGTGCCAGCCTTTTTTTTTCTTTTGGTGGGACACGGGTTTGAACTCAGGGCCTCATGCTTGCTAAGCAGGTGCTATACGAAGAGCTGTTTTTTTAAGCCCATGAAATGACTTTAGTTTAGAGTATATAGTCACTAAGCCCTACTTAATAAATAAGCTTCCTTGGGCCATTATCTTTTAAAAAATACAGATGAGGGCCATTGGTGGCACACTGTAACTTCAGCACTCAAGAGTCTGAGACAGAAAGACCTTGAGTTTAAGGCCAGCCTGGACTACCCTGGGAACACTGCCTCAAAAAAAAATTAAACATGGGCCTTTTAATATGTCAACAGATAATACTTTATGTTACCATTTTTTTTTGGTGATAATATGGTTTGATCTCAGGGCTTTGCCCCTGATAGGCAGGCTCTCTGCCACTTGAGCCACACCCCCAGCCCACTTTATGATACTCTTAAGCATTTGTAATCTTTAATCTTTCTGTGTGTTCATAAAAATGTATTGAAGACCTTGTTTAAGAAAATTAACTCATTGGGAGAGATGGGGGAATGTTGACCAGTAGGTATTAAGTTACAGCTAGCTAGGAGCAAGAAGCTCCTAGTACAGGATGGTGACAATACAATGTGCATTTCAAAAAGCTACAAGAAAGAATTTTTAGTTTTCATCACAAAGAAATAGTAAGTGTTTGAGGAGATAAATATGTTTAACCTGATTTAAATACGCAACATATACATGTATTAAATGGTATCCTATTAGTATGTAGAATGTCTGTTTTTGTGTGTCTGAAAACTTTTTAAATAAGAATAGAACTTTTTTAAAAAAATTAACTTATGATGATAGAATTTTTCATTGACAATTATTTTATAAACATGATTTTGAAAATACCTTATTCACAAAGCACTATGATGGAACAAGTAGGGAGTTGCTATTTGGGGGCTTACTGGTATTTTTAGTACTACCAGTGAATATTTGGAGATCCAGATCCCTGTGCCACCCTTTCCCCCATCTTGACCCAGTGCTTACAGTGGAATCCAGGGTCTTAAATATAATAGGCAGGAGCTCTACTACTGAACTACCTATCCAGTTCTGAGATCCAGAATATTTTTGTTTTGGTTGTACTGGGGTTTGAACTCAGGGCCTCACACTTGCTAGGCGGGCACTCTACTATTTGAGCCATTCTACCAGCCCCCTGAGACCTAGAATTTGATTACTTAAACCATAATTAGTTTACTAAGAAAATGCTTTAGAGGTTGAGTATGTATTAATTGAATTTATTGTTTGATTCCTTATTTGAATCTTTATCTTTTTCATTTTAAGAGGTAATATAATCTAATCTTTGTGATATAGTAATTTATCATAGAAGCAATGGTCATTATATGATAATTTATATGTTTTCTTATATGCTAGTATATTTTGTTGTATAAGTTTGATTCCTAGTTTTTTTTTTTTCTATTTTCTATGAATACTGTTAAAATTAGAAGATAATATGAATCAGGTTAAAAATAAAAGTAACTACTATTACAGTAAACTTTATAGTATAATTGTGTTTAATATAGTTTATTTTGAAGTTGAGTTTTATATCATGTTGTTTTGTAAAGGAAACTTGAACTAGAAACAAAGTTACCTACCATATATAAATCTATATAGAAGAAGAATTGTCAAGTTGTCATATTTGGGTAGGTTTGGGAATTTAGGTTCATAGAATAATATACAAATATTTGTTAATGATGATTTGTCCCCCCAGTCCTTCAATATAATTTACAGACTGTATATCATGTCAAAAAATTGAGCATGTATGTTTGTCCTGAAAATCAAGATCCTGAATTTCTCCTTCCTTTCTTCCTTTCCTTTCCTTCCTCCCTTCCTCCCTGCCTCTCTCCTTCTTTCTCTCTCTTGTTCTTTCTTGTGGAACTGGTGTTTTGAACTCAGGGCTTCATGCTTACAAAGCAGTGTGCTACCTCTTAAGCCATACCTCCAGTCCATTTTGCTCTGGTTATTTTGGAGATGGGTCTCTGAAACTATTTGCTGGAGCTGGCCTCAAACCGCAATCCTCCTGATCTCAGCCTCCCAAGTAGTTGTACGTATAAGCCACCAGAGCCCAGAAAGATCCTGAATTTTTTTTGTTTGTTTGTTTGGTGGTACTGGGGTTTGAATTCAGGGCCTCACACTTGCTAGGCAGGCACACTGTACACTTGAGCCACTCTGCTAGCCTATAACCCACTATCTTAAAATGTTTGATTAAATTTGTTTCTATGTACAAATACGATTGGCTAATTAATTTTGTTGTATAGTCTTAAACATTGGCTTTGACTTTCCTCAAAAATTGTAGACTTGATAAATTTTGGCTGTTGTTCAATTATGTCTTCATTTCTAAAATAAGTTAATCACATTTCTGAAAGGAAACAGTTAAATGAATGTTGTGAGCTGGGTATGATGGTACATGCTTGTAATCTCAGTACTTGGAAGGCTGAGGCATGAGGATTTTAAGTTTGAGGGCAACTTAGGCAATACAGTGAGACCCTGACTCCAAAAAAGAACAAGTGAGCAAACAAAACCAGATAAACACTTTTTTTTTTTTGGTGGTACTGGGGATTAAACCCAGGGCTTATGTTCATTCCAGGCAAGTGCTCTACCACCGAGCTAAATCCCCAGGTCAGATAAACCTATTTTTAAATTGAAGAGTGTTTCAAAAATAATACTATATAGGAGTTGTGGCTCAAGTGGTAAAGCACCTTCTTTGTAAGTGTAAAGACCTGAGTTCAAGTCCCAGCCCCACCAAAACAAAAAGAATACTATTTACATGTTAAAACAATAACTACTTGGATTATCATGACATTGAAATATGTATATTAAGCAATACCATTGAAAAAGAATACTAAGTCATACCAAAATTACATAACATATTTTATATGTCTTGAAAAAAAACTAGAAAATACATTTGGAGTGATTATGTTAATGAGATCCTTTTGTTTTCTGTAAAGGTCTGTAAATTCTTACCAAAAGAGTAACATTATTCAGCCCTTAAAAAAATGTATTAAACGTATGCCTTTTAAACAAATAGCAAGCTAAAGCTTTCAGATAGCCTGCTAACATTTATATTCTCTCCATTTGTTAGGGGAAAAGAGTTTCTTTTTACAAACGAGCCCAAATTCTTGTGGCAGACACGTGGAGTGTATTAGAAGGAAAGGGAGATGGCTGCTTTAAGGATATCTCCAGTATCACCATGTTTGCTGATTATAGATTGCCTCAGATTCTTACTTACCTTGGAGCCCTGAAATATTCTGATAGACTACTGGAGAAGCTTCTCAAAGGTTTGCAACCTTAAGTCATCATTTGTTATATTATGAATTGTTTTTGAATCTCTTGTTTAGTTTCTTTCACACAAAAAAAGGCCTCTCATTTGCTTTAAAAAAAGGCACTATTGTTAAAAATATATATGCTTGGCATGGTAGTGCACATCTGTAATCTCAGGATAAGGAGGCAAAGGCAAGAGGATTAAAGGCTAGCCTGGGCTATACAAGGGGGACCCTATCTAAAAAAATTTTTTTAAGTATATGTAAAGAAAAATACATAGGAAAATAAAATAAAATGGCTTTTCTTGTTTACATTGTGAAATATGGAGATTGTTGAAAATTGTGCTATTTGGATATTGTAATTTCAGAATTTAATAAAATGAAACCTAAATTTATGTTCCATGGATGTGTATGGTACAGGTGTAGTATTTGAGGAGTATTAATTAATCTGAGAAGTACACTACATTGTGATGTAAAGACTGATTTGTCTTCATGTGTCATTCCTTTTACTAGTCATTCATTATTGGGTATGATTATTGACATCAAGACTGGGTACCTTAGTAAATATAAGAATAGGGAATTTGGGTTGATAAGTTGGTGCAATATTTTTTTTTAAAAAATAAACATTTCTTTCTAAAAGAAAAACAGTTGCTGGGCGCCAGTGGCTTATGTCTGTAATCCTAGCTTCTCAGGAGGCAGTTTTATGAGTGAATAATTTTGTCTTGTGAAATAGATTTAAGTCTTCCCAAATCAGAATAACATAGACTATAAAGGTACCGTTATTCCTAAGGTTAGTTTTAACAGGTTATTGTGCTGGCTTTGGGCAATCATTTTGTTCTTATTTGAAAAATGATATACTATATTATGTCATAATGCTTATGTTCTTGATGATTGTTTAAAAGGGACATGTTAAAAAAGCCATTTTCTTTTTTCTTTTTAAATTTTTGTTTTATTCATATGTGCATACAATGTTTGGGTCATTTCTCCCCCCTTCCCCCCACCCTCTCCCTTATCCCCCCTTACCCGTCCTTACCTCTCACTACCCAGCAGAAACTATTTTGCCCTTATCTCTAATTTTGTTGAAGAGAGAGTATAAGCAATAATAGGAAGGAACAAGGGTTTTTGCTAGTTGAGATAAGGATAGCTATACAGGGAGTTGACTTGCATTGATTTCCTGTACATGTGTGTTACCTTCTAAGTTAATTCTTATTGAACTAACCTTTTCCCTAGTTCCTGGTCCCCTTCTCCTATTGGCCTCAGTTGCTTTAAAGTATCTGCTTTAGTTTCTCTGCATTGAGGGCAACAAATGTTATCTAGTTTTTTGGGTGTCTTACCTATCCTCATACCTCCCTCGTGTGCTCTCGCTTTATCATGTGATCAAAGTCCAATCCCCTTGTTGTGTTTGCCCTTGATCAAGCCATTTTCTTTGTATTTTATTTTCTCTCATATTTTTCTTTATGCATATTTTTTGTTTTGTTTTTTAATCATACAGCTGTATTCAACTGTTTGTTTTGTTGTTGTTGTTTTTGAGACAGGGTCTTTGTAGTTCAGGCTGGTCTTGAACTCTCAGTCCACCTGCCTCAGCCTCCAACAGGCATGGGCCACTATGACTGGCTTTAAAAACAGATGTTCTCTCCAGACACTGGTGGCTCACACCTGAAATCCTAACTACTTGGGAGGCTGAGATTGGGAAAATAAAGGTGCGAGGCCAGCCCAGGCAAATAGTTTATAAGACCCAATCTCCAAAATAACCAGAGCAAAATGGACTGAAGGTATGGCTCAAGTATGTGCTTTGCAAGCACAAAGCTCTGACTTCAAACTCCAGTCCCACAAACAAATAAAACAGACTATTTGACTGCATTTGTAAAAGTAGAGAAATACAGAAACATGCTACCTTTAGACAAGGCAGCACATACTCTGTAGCTTACCACAGTCTGCATCTGACTGCTGTGTTCATTTACTCCATCTGCTGATTCTTATGGGTATTTGAATTGATGAGTTCTACTTGCAGTCTCAGTGGCACGACACCAAGGCCCACCCTGCAAGATGGGGTATTCCCTGGAGATGGATACTAAATAGATGAGGTCTTATGTGAACTATGAGCTCCATATTCAGCCAGAGCTGGCCAAAGGATCCTGAATCCAGAGCACAATCATGGTTTTCCTTGCTCAGGGTAACAACTGTGATGGTCTATGGTTTTCCTTATGGACCTAGGATGTTCCCAAGACAACATTCAGCCTCCACAATTTTCAATTATACACACACACACACACACACACACACACACATCTTTTCTTTTTAATAACAAACTTTTGAATAATAAATTTAATATTAAATAAATTTAATAATATTTTTAAATTTGGGGTTGGTATATCTTCATTTAACAGATGTCTATTTGGGAAGCTAGTATATGCAAGATGCTATGCTAGGTCCTGGAAGTACTGAGACAAAAAAGCCAGACATGGCCCCTATCGTTGTGGAATTTATTTTTAATTTTTCATTAATGCCTAAGTTTAGAAATGATTTTTTTTTTTTTGCTCCATTTTTAACCCTTACAGGAGAAATGCTTTCCTATGGGGATAAGCAAGAAGTGGAAATCAGAGGTTGTACGCTTTGGTGTGTCGAGCTGATCCGGGATTGTCTTCTAGAGCTTATTGAAAAAAATGGTGAAAAACCTAATGAAGAGATCAATTCTGTTCTTTTGGATTATTACTTATGGGACTATGCCCGTGACCATAGGGAAGATATGAAAAGAATTCCCTTTCATCGCACACGTTGCATATATTATTGACCCCAGTATAAACTGATCCAAAGAAAACGTCTACATTTCTATATCATATAATCATTTGTACAATTTTGGTTTGATTTTAAGGTGGTATAATTTACATAAGAAAACTGATTATTAAGTCGCTATTAAAATTTTTTCTGGCTAGTGGCTCATGCCTGAAATCCTAGCTACTCAGGAGGCAGAGATTAGGAGGATTGAGGTTTGAAGTCAACCGAGGCAAATACGTCCGTGAGACCCTATGTTGAAAAAACCCCTTACAAAAAAGGGCTGGTGGAAAAAAAAAAAAAAAAGGGCTGGTGGAGTGGTTCAAAGTATAGGCCCTGAGTTTAAACCCTGGTACTGCAAAAAAAAAAAAAAAAGAAAAAGAAAAAGAAGTTTTTTCCTTGATATTTCATTGTGTATTCCCAACTTTATTTGCTTATTTAATTTTGACTATATTTTCCCCTGCTTTGGACACATAGTTGACTTTTTAATACTTTCTTTAAATTCCCAGATTTAAAAAAATTGTGCTGCATAGTCTTCAATGATAATATTGTGTCTATTCAGTTGATAGCTCTTCTCATCTTGTAGTAATTTTTTTTTCTTTTTTTTGTAGTGCTGGAGATTGAACCCAGGGCCTTGACATGCTGGGCAAGCCATATGCACTACCCAGTAATTTTCTATATGCCTTAATCATTTAATACAGAAGAGAGAAAGAAGGTAGAATTTTGGACATATAAGCTATTACTTTTATAACAATCTGTGTTTTTTTTTTTGGGTGGTCTGGAGTTTAAACTCACAGCCTGGTGCTTGCTAAGCAGGTACTCTACCACCTGAGCCACACACCCAGCCCTAAAGTCCTAAAAATCAGTGATGACAACTTATTTTAAACTTTTTATTGATAACAGTAGTGGGCATATAAACATTGGTTTCTGGTCCTGGGTATGTTTGCCTAGTATTTATTTTCAAACTAACTATATGGAATTGAAGATATTCAAGGGCTGGAGTTGTGGCTCATGTAGACAAGTACTTACTTGCTTAGAAAGCACAAAACCCTGAGTTTAATCCCCAGACCACAGAAACATTAACAACATCAAAAACAAAAAAAAGCAAAACATTTCAAAACTTTTTAAACCTGGAATGGATTATTTAATTAAAATAAAATTTACCCAAGCCATGGTACATGTCTGTAATCCCAGCTATGCAGGAGGCAAAAATAGGGGGATTATGGCAAAACAAACTACAGGACTGGGTAGTGTCTCAAGTGGTAAAGCACTGCCTAGCAAGTGTGAGGCCCTGAGTTCAAGCCCAGTACTGCAAAAAGCAAAAATAAAAACAAAAAAGCCCAAAGCAAAAATGGCTGACTCAAGTGGTAGAGTGCTTGCCTAACAAGCACAAGGCCTTGAATTAAATCCCTAGTCCCACCAAAAAAAAGAAAAAAAATTGCGAAATAAAATAAGGTTGTGTTGGTCTGCCCCGCATGCTGTGTCACCATGCCTTGAACTACTGAGGAAATCAAGAATTTGCTACTTATTGCCAAGCAAAAGTATGCTAAATCTGTCAAGGTCAAGAAATATAAGTTTTTAAGGTTACTGCAGCCAGGCACCAGCTACTCAGGAGGCAGAGATCAGGAAAATCTCAGTTCAAAGCCATCCTGGGCAAATAGTTCCCAAGACCATATCTTGAAAATATGGAGCACAAATTGGGTGGTGAAGTGGTTCAAGTGGTAGAGCATGGGCTAGCAAGGATGAGGCACTGAGTTTAAGCCAAGTACCACCTAAAAAAATAAACAAAGGTTGCTGCAGCAGATACTTTTATATTTAAGTCATCACTGACAAGGAGGAAGTAGAGAAACTGAAGCAATCCCTGCCCCCCAGATTTGGCAGTGAAGTCGTTAAAATGAACCAGTCACACTGATTTGAACTGTATTAAAATCTTAAAAAGTGGACTGGCAGAGTGACTCAAGCAGTAGAGTGCTTGCCTAGCAAGCATGAGGCTCTTAAGTTTAAACCCCAGTACTACCGAGAGAAAAAAAAAAATCTTGAAAAGTGAAAGAAATTAAAATTCGGCAAGCTGTGTATAGTAGCACATAAGTGTAATCCTAGCACTTATGGAGGCTAAAACAGGAGGATTAGGAGCTTAGGCTCCATGGCAAGATCATATCTCAAAACAAACAAAAATAGAATTTCCCACATACAATTTTTAAAGGTTTACAGTAGATTTGATTATTTACTTTCTGTTGCAGAATGTAGGACCAACTAAGCACTCACTTCCCACCTCTACCCCCACTTTCCTTCTAAGAGAGGCATCTACAGTACTTTTTTTCTTGTGCTGGGTCAGGGATTGGTTTCAGGACCTGTCCCCTGTCCCATACCAAAATTCACAGATGCTCAAGTACCTTATAAAAAACAGCATTGGTTTGCCTATCACCTACACATGTCTTTCCACATATGTTCAATGATCTCTAGAGTACTTGTAATACCTAATACAGTTTAAATGCTGTGTAAGTAATTGATAATTAGTAGTTGTAATTAGCTAGGGAACGATGATAAGATTAGTGTATTTTTGATCTGTGGTTGGTTGACTCTAGTCACACAGAACCCACAGATGAGGAAGACTTACTTGTCTTTTTGTGTGGATATGTGTTGTGGGGGTAGGATGGGGTTTGAACTTAGGCTTCGGGCTTGCAAAGCAACCATTCTACTGCTTGAGCCACTCCATTTTGGTCTGATTGTGTTTCTCGAACTATTTGCTCAGCCTTGCTTGGAACTGCCATCCTACTTATCTCAGACTCCAGGCGTGAGCCCCTACCTTGCATGCAGTTGCCTTGTCTTCTTGCTGTAACTGTAAATCAAATAAGGTGCCCTTTCCCTAAGCACTTTACTGCCATCTGCTGGAAATTTGTCACCATGCAGATGACAATGAATGTGAATGAGGCCTCCTGGTGTAGGGCAATGCAGTTTGCACAACCATAAATATTTGGAGACTTTTCTTCCCTGTGTGATTCAGGGGAAGGGACACCTAGGCCCAGTTTCATAGTTAGGTCTGGTATAGTATGAATTATTTATGTTCATGGTAATCCTGTTCCCTTGCCTATGGTTGCTTTTGTAATGGGTAATCTAGTTCTGGCCAGTGATAAATAGATAAGTCTACCAGGAGGCTTTTGGAAAAGGATTCTTTGCATTTAGGAAGGAGACGTAGGAGAAGATCCCTCTTCCTCTGAGTGATGTTCTGTCTAAACATGATAGCCAAAACTATGATATCTATCTGTTGTCTGTCTGTCTATCTATCTGTCTATCTATCTATCTATCTTCTGGCCTGTTAACCCTAACTAAGACAGAAACAACAGTTACTTCTTACAGACCTGCCTCCTATTCCAAAGCTGTCCTTGCTTTTCCTTATCCCACCCATCTTAAATACAACTAATGTAGGTTCAGTGTAAACAACTTATGCTTACCCCAGTTTTGTTGTAAAAATACTCTAAGCTCCAGGTCTAGCAAGCATTTTTCCAACTTCTATTTAGCCTTACTGCTGGTAGTTGCAGAAACTTACCCTAATGAGATGGGGACTGTCAGGCAGAAAGGGAACAGTGTTTTAAAAGGAGCCAGAGATCAGGTGCAGCACTGTATTCTGATACAGTTTGCCAAACACTGGGCTTGTGGAGTGGCTCAAATTGTGGAGCACCTACCTAGCAGTTTGTCAAACATCCTGCTCCACTATTACCCTGGAGTAATGACTGACCACAGCTGAGACTACTTGGTACAGTGCCCAACAGTCCTCTGTTGGGGACTTTACCAATGCTAAAGGTTATCTAGAAGCCTCATCTACATCTCATAGTTATGGCTTTATGCATACACCTCCCCTCAAATCATCATGTTGGTTCTGAGGACACCTTATTAGATAACCATTCACTGTCCTCCAATTCTTGGAAAAGCCTGCCCATTTCTTGGAAAGCTCCATAATCAATGTCCTCAGTCTAATTATTAAAGCATATCCATAAAAGTACCTAAGACCTGGGGGCTAGAGGCACTCAGTTTCTCAGTCCACTGCCTCCATCTAATCTCCTTTAATGAGGCTCAGTTTGCCTCCATCTAATCTCCTTTAATGAGGCTCTTTCATTTTGCTTCAGTAAATCTTGCTCTTTTAAAACTCCTCTTTGAGTCTACTCCCGAACCCTTTCTTCAGCTAGATGAAGAAACTGTCATTCCAGTCTCTTCAACAAATGTTGCTGGGAAAAGTGGTTATCCATCTGCAAAAAACTGAAACTAGATCCATGTTTATCACCCTGTACTAGTATCAACTCAAAATGGATCAAGAACCTAAATATCAGACCTGAAACTCTGAAGTTACTAAAGGAAGGAGCAGGAAACACTCTGGAGCTAATAGGTATAGGCAAGGACTTCCTCAATAGAACCCCAGCAGCCCAGCAACTAAGAGAAAGGATGAACAAATGGGACTTCATAAAATTAAAAAGCTTCTGCACAACAAAAGAAATGGTCTGTCAACTGAAGAGACCACCCACAGAGTGGGAGAAAATATTTGCCACTATACATCAGACAAGGGACTGATAACCAGAAAATACAGGGAACTTAAACTAAACTCTCCTAAAATTAATGAACCAATTAAAAAATGGGCAACTGAATTTAATAAAACTTTCTCAAAAGAAGAAATTCAAATGGCAAAAAACACATTAAAAATTGCTCACCATCTCTAGCCATAAAGGAAATGCAAATCAAAATCACGCTAAGATTCCACCTTACCCCTGTTAGAATAGCCATCATCAAAAACACCACCAACAACATGTGTTGGTGAGGATGTGGGGAAAAAGGAACCCTAATCCACTGCTGGTGGGAATGCAAGCTGGTATACCCACTCTGGAAAAAAATTTGGAGACTCCTTAAAAATCTAAACATAGACCTGCCATATGATCCAGCAATCCCACTCCCAGGGATATACCCAAAGAAATACAATACAGGTTACTCCAGAGGCACCTGCACACCCATGTTTATTGCAGCACTATTCACAATAGCCAAGTTATGGAAACAGCCAAGATGCCCCACTATTGATGAATGGATCAAGAAAATGTACTTGTACACAATGGAATTTTACTTAGCCATGAAGAAAAATGAAATCTTACCATTTGCAGGTAAATGGATGGAACTGGAGAACATCATTCTGAGTGAGGTCAGCCAAGCTCAGAAGACCAAAAATTGTATATTCTCCCTCATATGTG